GTTGTAACTAGGAAATAATAGTAAATAATATTCTTATTAGTTATATGAAAAAAAGTGCATGGAGGTTAGAAATGGGCCGATACAGTATAGGTGTTTCTTTTTTTCAATCCATGGGTGGCCACTTTAAATGTTGACTGTAATCATTGTTACGGGTATCACTAAAATTAGCTAACATTTTTCTTTACTGTTGTTTATAACCTAACATTTTCTTTTGCTGGAGTTGGTTCAAGGGGAGTATTTTTCAAAGATAATGAAACGATATAAAAATAATATTTTAAAATTAAGGAGTAAACGATGTAAAAAGTATTAAAAAAAAAAAAAACACAAATCTGGAGCGCCAGGCACTCGCCAGAATGGGTGAATTGCTTTTATTGGGTCCCGGCTGAAGGCGCTGACAGACCCCAGAGCCGCACTGCTGTTCTTATTCTTGTTCTTGTTAAAACTTTATTAGCGTAGCGACGCCAGAAATTGTGTACATATTCTGAGAGGTGATTTGCAACAAACGTTCATCGCCCTTTTTTTTTTTGTTGTTAAAACTTAAATTGGACCTCAGGGTTCCCCTTACACATACAAAACAAAACAGGGGTTTTACAAGGACTTTACATTACTGCCATTACCACTAATAGAGAAGATCGCAATGATGGCTTGATCGATTAAGGATGTGTTCTTTAGAACTGAAGTCTTGGTATTCATTTATTTTTCCAATTTTAAGATTGTTTTTTTTCAATTTTAAGATATTTTAATTTTGTACTAATGAACATTCTAAATAACATTTTTTTTTACAAATAAACATTCTAATTATTTAAAAATTTCTATCTTATTAGCTCTTATATAATAACTTTCACCTGTACCGTATTTAAGCGTGAAGGTATGCGCGGACAGATTAGCGGCCCGCTCTTGTTTGTAATTGGTTTCGTCTTCTTTTAAAATTGCCATCGTGTTTTTCTTGTCTCTGTGTTGTTTGCTCTAATTAAGCTATGACCTGGGTTTTTTTTGTCACATTATTTTATTCTGTGTGTGTGATTTATTTTTTATTTAAAAAAAATAAAGAATGAATTTACATACAAGTGAAATAAAGTCTTATCTTACTTTGGGCATTCAAACCCTACGGAACTATGTTTTCCATATGACCGGAAAAATACATTAATTGCGTCGACATTATAATTTTTTCAACAATATTTAACTTATAACATTCAAACTTAATAACGTAAAGAATATCTCCTTTAAAAATAACATACCTTCTTGAACAATTTGTAGTATGGTTTGGCTTCAATAAGTGAAACAAATAAGCCAACAGCAAGTATTATTACTGCAACACGGTTCATCTTCGCCTTGAGTGTGGTTTCGTCTCGTTGACAGTGAGGTAAACTGGTACCGTGAATACGAAACTTTGCTTATTTTATAGACTCATCAGCGAGTCAATTTGATATGAGGGATATAATTTTCTTCGCCCTTTGTATTTGCGTATAAAAGTAGCACCAAAGTTACCCTAAGTAAAGTAGAACAGCCCTGTGCGTTTGTTTTTTTGCATAATATAAAATTTCACAGTACGCCTCTCTAAATCAATAATATTTTCTTGTCAAATTACATGTGAAATTCCTTCAATCTTTAAAGATAATAAAACTTAACAAATGTATATAAATAAGCTTTTTTATATTGCCTCACTCCCACACACACACAAAAATTGCAGTATCATGGGGCTTTCAATTGAGAAATGCATTTATTGTACAAACAGTATTAGTGCAACTTCTATGTAAATTGTAGTATTAATAATATTCATAATTCATTTATATTCATTCATTCGCTCATTTATTCATAAATACACTGGCTGGTACACTGTGAAAACAGTGTTTAGATTCTAAACACAAAGCTCCACACATTCTTGTCCCGACTTTTGGAACACATTTAAACGCTAAACATGTTTAACATTTGCTTAGCTTAAATGTGCTTAGAATCTTGACCTGTTTAACATTAAAAGGGCCTAGGTATTTTCCGTGTTTAATATTCAGGTGCTTAGGCATTTCATGTGTTTATTGAGGTGCTTAGAAAACGTGTTTAACAATAAAGTGCTTAGCCATTTGACGTGTTTAGGTATTTGATATGTTTAAGGTCTAAACACAAGACTCCATACATTCTAAACGCAAAGCTCTACACATTCTTGTCCCGACTTTTGGAACACTTTTAAAACTAAACACGTTTAACATGTGCTTAGCTTAATGTGTCTAAAGCTTTGTACTGAGATTTTAAACATCAGACAGAATATAGTGGCTGCAGATTAGACTATTAGGCCGCTGTTTGAATACGCTTCGAAATTCTAAACACGATTATAATTTCTCATGCTAAACACTTTTTAGCTAAACACACTGGTCTTGCTCTAAGAATCTAAACACTTTATCTCTAAGCACACTGAAATCCTAAATATTTTTAAGTTATGCACAAACACATTATAGATAAACACATTCTATGCGCTAAATGCAATTTAGAGCTAAACACGTTGAAATTCTAAATACTGAAATCTTTACTGCTAAACACATTTAAAGCTCTATGTGTTTAGATCAGCATGTGTGGAGAATTGTGTGGAGTTCTGATGTTTGTATTGCGTTTTTAATATCTTGTTAGCTAAATACTTTTTTAAACACCATCTAAACATGTTTGCTGCTAAACGTGTGGATATTCAACACAAAATACAATAGAGAACCAATAATTCTAAACACGTTTAGCTTTTAAACATTGTTCTAAGCGCAATCATAAGATAAACACGTTTAACACGTATTTAAATGCTCCACGCTGTTTTTACAGTGTAGTGGTATAAGTAGGTAGTTGTATTAGTAGTTGAAGGTAGGCCTAGTCATAGAATTAGCAGCAGTATCAGTAGTAGCAATAACCACAGCAGTATTTGTAGTAGCAGTGCGTAGCAGTGTATGTATTATGATACTCATTATGGAGTGGAGTTCTTTTGGTGGCTTGGATTTGACTTTGACTTTTAATACTGGCAATGACTGATAAACCTAACTTAACTAGAATAATAGTACAAACCAGTGCCGTGATGGTGAATATTACCGGAAAATCTAACAATTACCGTTTATTATTGTTACATATTTGTGCAGATAACACGCTTGAAATGTGCACAAAGGGCACCTATTTACCTGTTTTCGCCGTTGATCAACTGCTTATGCACAATTAGCGGTGTATAGAAATTAATAATCAGTGTTATTA